AATGATATAGTCAAATGTCTTGGTCAATCAACAGAAGGGTCGTTATTTGTGGATGACTTCTTGATCTGTTACAGATCTAAGAACATGCACACGATAGAACGACAACTTCAACAGAGTTTAAACAAACTACAAAATTGGGCAGACGAAAACGGCTTCAAATTCTCTAAATCCAAAACTGTGTGCATGCATTTCTGTCAAAAACGAAAAGCACACAATGACCCAAATCTAACACTCGATGGCACTAGAATTCCTGTTGTTGAACAGACTAAATTTCTCGGCCTCATTTTTGATTCGAAACTCTCTTTCATACCACATATAAAGTATCTGAAGGATAAGTGTTCCAAGGCGTTAAACATTATACGAGTCCTTTCTCATACTGATTGGGGAGCGGATCGTGAAATGCTTTTGCGCCTATACAGATCACTTATTCGAACAAAACTGGATTATGGTTCTATGGTATACGGGTCAGCGCGCAGTTCGTACCTTCAGATGCTAGATCCAATCCATAACCAAGGGCTACGTCTTGCCCTGGGAGCTTTTCGAACAACACCTGTAAAAAGCCTGTACGTGGAAGCAAATGAACCATCCCTTTATGACAGAAGAATAAAACTTTCATTACAATTTGCAACTCAATTAAAATCAAACCCTAAAAATCCTGCTTTCAACCAAGTATTCAACCCCAAATACCAAAACATATTTACGCAAAACCAAAAACTTCTGCCAACATTTGGTATCCGAATTTTGAATTTCCTGCAAGAACTCAACATAAAATTGACGGACATAGCTGAATTTAACATATCTGATGTTCCTCCGTGGACCATTCAAACCCCCGATTTTAACTTTACATTACATGAGCGAGGGAAATCAAGTGTTATGCCCGAAGAACACAAATCCTCCTTTCGGGAATGCATTTCGAATTACCCTTCTCATACACAACTTTACACCGATGGCTCCAAAGAAGGTGAGAAAGTGGCAGCAGCCTGCTGTACTGCCAATACTTGCACTTCAGTCCGACTACCAGACGGCGCCTCCATCTTTTCTGCTGAAGCATGCGCCATTGGTTTGGCCCTCGACCATATCGATGAACACCGCATTAAAAAGGCAATTATTTGTTCAGACTCTCTATCTGTCCTACAGAGTTTACAGTTACGAGATCCTAAAAACACAATCGTACAAAACCTTGCTCTTCGAATATCTCGTATATTAAAAAAGTCTAAAATAACTTTACTATGGATTCCGAGCCATGTCGGAATAAAAGGCAACGAATTTGCTGACAGGGAAGCAAAAAATGCAT